GCCTCCCTTGTGTTTTTTCTGTCTCTCCCTGAAGCGTGGAACCGCAACCGTGGCCGTTTCCCAGTCGTCAGGAATGTTGTCGGGACTTCAGTTTATTTGATCTGGACTATAAAATGTGTGCGAAAGTGTACGTGTGTTTGCGTGCGCGTCTGTGCGTGCTTATTGCTTATTGCAAGCACATCAGCAGCATCTGCTCCATTGATTTTTGGAAAAAATCTTGGCCATGTTTGGCAAAAAGTGGCAGCGGCTCTGATGGAAATTTCCCACCAAACATCTTGAAACGTTCGACAAACAACATGGAAAATGTTGCCGGTAGAGGTTGTGGGGATGGTGGTGGGGGGGCTAGGGGGTGTGTGTGGGGGTTTGGTATCCGTGCCTGGAGCAGGAACAAATCAGCCAACATCAGCACATTGCCTGATGAAACGACTTGTGACGTTTTCCCGCTGCTTTTACTGGAAGCTCTTGTCTGGACTTGTCCATCGCGGAAATCGGAGATTTGGCGCCCCATTGGTTTAGTCCATCATCATCCCCGCCCTTGGCAGGCCCGATTGGTCTCCGGGGCTCATCCTGATGCCGTTTATTCCGTTCACTACCCAAGAGAACTTCCTGATTCCGGCTAGACAGGACGAGACAGACGGAAACTGACAAACGGTCGCCCTGCTCCAACCGCATTGATCACTCAACGTCTCGTTTTAACTTTTTTGTTTATTTCTTCAGCCTCGCGGCCTAAACCTGTCTGGAACAGGGTGTCCCCGGCAGAACATAGTAGGGTGATGTCTTGTATGTAATCATGAAAATCACGCTTCATTGGGATGGCGTCACTCAGGGAATCAAACGTATCCGTGCCTAAAATTTGGTGATCACGTTTGCTAGTTCCTACTGCTCTGTCATGTCTAGTCAAATGCATACGTGCCTAAAGCAGTTTTTGGTCCAGGGACCACATGCTGCTGACCTGTTTCCAAGGAGCCAAACATACATACCACGGGCAACTGTGACTAAATCTGCTTTTCTTAAGTGATCACACAATCCTGTGATAAGGAATCAAATGTCAAAGTAATTTGTGCCGAAACCAGTTTTAGTCCAAAGTTACATTCCTGTTCCTGCTGCTGTTATGTTGACTTTAAAGTGATGCCTGTGGGATAAACCAGAGCATCTACATAGGATGGATTGGTCTCTGGGGCTCTTCCTGTCTGAGCACAGTGATGCCAGTTGTTCTGAACAGGATCTCCCTGCATTCCAAATGGCTAGTTCCTTTTCCTGCTTGCTCTAGATTTGACCTTTTGCGACAAAGCTATGCAGTGTCATAGCATTGAAAACAAAGTCAACTCATTTTGTCTCTGGATTGTAACATCTGGGTTATCCTGATTGGACACAGTGGTGATGTTCTGGAACAGGATCTCCCTGCAGTACAGAATGATGGATTGCTGACAAGCCCTCGCAGGCATCACGCATCTCAGAAATGCCGTAACTCAAAGAACATAACGTACAGTAAACGGTAACAGCACCTAAACGAGTTTTCGGTCCTAAGTGATTCCACGTTTCTGTTCCTGCCACGCTAATTTTGAATTCCAAGTGAGGACTTGTAGCAATGACAACCAAGACATATTCTAACAGGACAGATTTGATTCTGGGGCTCTTTCTGATTAGATAGAGGATGTCCTAAGATGTGCTTTACAGCAATTACACTCATAACTTTGATGGCGTACCTCTAGGATCCAAACCAAACAGTCGTAGGTATAGCTGCGCACAAATTAGCGTTTACTCCGAAGCGATCACCATCTTGTTCCAGCTGCTCTCATTTTGCAAGTAGCGGCGCTGTAGCGTCCGCAGCCAAGGCAGCTCGGTTGCCTCTTCCCGTGTACTGCAATTTAAAGTAATGACACCGTACGTTGATCCATTTAAAGCTGTGACACGGACGTGGACTGGTCGTCGATGGCATGCCGCCGTAAGGCCATAAATCGAGTTTTATCACAAGTTTTTCACACGTCAGACTTGTGTGCGCGAAATTAAATATTCTGCCGGTGCTCCTCACTCAAAACATGTGCAGCGGCTGTCGTATTTTTTACTCATTAGGCCTTTCGAACTGATGGCGTACATCTGGATTTCTCAGCGCTCAGCAGTCAATCAGTTTGTTTCTTTTGGATTTTTCCCAGTTTACTCCACCGTCTGCACCACAAACGTCCCGCCGTCACATACAACTTTGTGTCACGGTTCTCCTTCTTGGTCAGACTTAGGTAGTCATGCTCAAAGACACAGTTTAACACTTCTCTCTCACGCCTGAGGATGATATTGGACCTGAGTGCAGGAGGTTAGAACTAAAATTAGGACACATATGGATGACGACAGCGTCACATTTCAGCCTCAATATATCAGTGAGCCCTCAGGAGTGATGTGGTGCGTGCCGGGCTTTTCCAAAGGTTTGGTTTCAAGATGTGTAGAAATGACATGTTTTGGATCCAACGTCCACTCTCAGCCATCATACTTGAATTAAGTTTGATGAAATATCGTAGCGGTCCAGAGCCACTTTTTTTCAGGAAACCAAAAAAAGCAACATCAATGCAGCACGGTGTGAACGTAGAGCACTGTTAGTTGTGATGTGCAAAGTATTAGCAAACCCCTCCCGATTGACACGCTTATTTAGATGTCACCTCAGCGTAAATTATTTTACAAATGGCGAGTTCATAACATGCCGTTTGAACGTTCAGCAGATTTGATGGCAGAATCGTGATGAGTCATTAGAATTGAGCTAAAGTAGCCTACAGTACACTACGTGTGCCCAAATGTCACCTGAAATAAAGAAAAGTGGGCATTTGCTCACATTAGCGCTCACTTTTACAGCTGCCAAATGAGAGGCCTGTGCAAAATCGGCAACACTTTGTGTCAAATGACTCACAATGCATACTTTAGGCACGTTGCTGACTGCTGCAGTCGCCTGCGCTACTTTCTCTCCGCCCGTGACGTCTCAAGAGAGGGCAACTGCTTAGGTAACGTCTGCTCCTGCCGTTGGAAAACTGCGCATCTGACCTTTAACGCCCAGCGACAATTCCCTGACTTTTTGCACACGCCAGCGACGATGTTTTATTGTCCGCTCGCCCGTCTAGACTGCGACTGAGCCTGGACAGGAAGCAGATGGGCAAGCGCTTCCTGCGTTGACCAGCTTTATAGTTTTGCTCCTCGAGGCCGACAGATGGCTGAGAGGAATTTTACAAGACCAACTGTGTTTGTGTGTGTCGCGATGGGACTGATGAAGTCAACATTGATGCCATTAAAAAGCACAGTGGACAATAGAATTGAAATAGTGTCCGGAAAAAGCTCATCGAGTCTCTTCGATTGTGAGAGTGACGAACGGGTTGGTATTCCATTCATTTTTATGGAGTTATTTTTGCGCTCAATCTGTGCTGCACCTGACGGCTGAAAGCAGGGGTGTCAGAAGTGCAGCCCACAGCTCGCCAAATTAGCTGCAAAGCCCATAAAATGCGCAGATGGCTCATTTGCCGCTTGAAGAATTTCCACACTTTGTGGTGGGACTCAACGCTGTTTAGTGGACATTTCTCATGAAAACCATCATGAAACTCTTCACTGAGGATAAAGAATATACGCCAGTGAGCGTTGTTATCTGTCTACATGTGTTGCCTCATTGTTTGTATTGAATTATGTATTGCTGAAGGGATTATACCATTGTCACACAGGTGCTATTTGTTAGCACGTCTATGGAGTTTCCCCACATTGTGATAGCATTAAGCTGGTGGACTTGTAAAATAGGTTGTCACGTCTGAAGGCACCGCTGAATGTAATTTATTGTATTATGCTAGCAGCTGCGTTATGATTATTTAGCATCAGCCGTGTGGAAAAAAAAAAGCTCGCAGTACTTTTTTTTTTGTTTTGTTTTAGTGTTTACAGGCCACGCAAGCTGCTCCTGTTCGGACTCCCTCTGTCCGTTTTTTTCGTGGAGCTACTCCGGCGGGTGGGGGGGGAGGATCGTGGTCTTACTGGAAATGCTGTTAAAAAGAAGGGGCTCTTACTTTTGAAAAGGCACAATGTGATGACAGGGAGCATGCCGTGGATGGTGCTTGAGATGTGTGTGGAGGTCCCTCTGGCTCCCATGGTTCCCCTCCTTCCCTCCACTCCTCTCTTGACTAGCTCAAGCGCCACCTCCTTTCCCTCGCGTGCAATCGCACTCTGCTGTGGATCCGAGGTGCCAGTTAACCCTTCACCAGGATTCCCCCCTCCACCCACTCTCTATTTCTTCAAGAAGACGACAATGAATGTCCGAGTTTGTAGTCACCGCTACAGTTAGGGAAGCATTTTAAAAGGATCCCCTTTTTTACCTTGTCCAGGTATTTTCACTTAACCCCACCCCCCAAAAAAGAGGCCTTAAAAGTAGTCACAAAAAATTCACTTGATATGTGGTTGGACTTCTAGTCAAGCTGGATGTGGTCAGAACCACAACACATGGGCTTGCTTTAAGGCTGTGACTAAACAACAAATGTTAGTGGCTGAACAAGTGATTAAAACAAAATCTGGAAACACTTGAGTTAAAGCATTGCAGCATTTTGTTACAAAATGCCCCAAAAGTCAATCCCACTTCGTACACCAAAATGTAAAAATTAGATTTTGGCTGCACCTGATTGTATTCTTAACCCTGCGTACTGTAAATAATATCCAGGTACTTGTGATTTGGGTCAGGGTCCTGCTGGACTGTAGGGAGGTGCTGGTGAGGCTTCCGCCCGGCCACAGCTCTTCCCTTCCCGGACACTGAGCCAACAGCGCTTGGATCCATCCTCCATCCTCCCCCCATCATCCCTCCTTTTTCTCTCCTCTTCTTCACTCCCTCCCTCGCTCCTCATCGTCATTCTCAGCGCCTTGGTGGGTGCGGTGCCACGTTGCCGTGATGAATTGAATCACGGCGGCGCACAGCATACGCGAGCAAATCGCATTCTGCACCGAAACATCTTTATTTTCTTCGTAAAAAGTTTTGGGAGTTTAAAAAAAAAAAAAAAAAAACGTCCACATGCACATTTATTTAATTTTTTTTTTGCCTAAATGACAGTTTTGTGCAAACATGAGGACATTTATCGCTTCGCAATATTCTCTCTGTACTCTACTGCCATCTAGTGGTCACATAGCTCGCTCAAGCAAGCCTCTCATTGGTTTTGTTGAGCGAAGCAGCACAGTACAGTGCTTTATTTCTATTTGGAGCGTCAGAAAATATACATCTTGACCATACGATATAGTAGCACACGTTGGCAATCTTAAAACAAACATTTTTTTTGGGGGGGGGCGACGTTTCATTGGTATTAAGAGAGCAAAAAGGTATCCTATTTATAGATTGGATACACAGATTATTATAAATATATCCCCCTCCGCCCACAGAAATGCAGGAAAACATTTGCAGGACTTTATCAAGAAATAGGTGGCAATGGTTAAGAAGAAACTGTTATTCGGTTCAGTAAAAATCTAATGCTGAGCGATTATCATTAGTACAAAGTTACCTGCACGGGTCATGAAAAATTAAACAATCTCCTGGTGTCATAAAATGACCAAAAATTAATCCCGCTTCTTATGCCAAACGAAAACAATACATTTTAGTATCCCAGCAGTCATATATGCCTCTTTTCCAGTGGCTTTTGTCTCAGTAGAAATGCACAACCTGAAATCCCCTCAAGCACCTGAAGGCCTTGGAGTCCAGCTTTCCCATGTCCATCAAATTGTCCGCTAACTGCACTCGGACAAGCCCGCTGAGGCTTGAGCCCGCTTGACCCCAGCAGAAGGCGTCCCGAGGCACCGACTGGATCTTGTTGTGAGTGAGCGCCAACGAGCGGAGGCCCTGCGGAAGCTGTCTGGGCACCTGGCTCAAGGCGTTGTGGCAAAGGTCCAGCTGGTGCAGGGTGCGCAAACTCAAGAATGCGCCCGGGGCCACTTTGGAGATCTTGTTCCAGGCCAGGCCCAGATGTTCCAGGTTCTTCAAGGAGTTGAAAGCGACTCTTCCAATTGCGGAGATGAGGTTGCCCTCGAGGTTTAACGTTTTGATGGACGAGGGGAGGTGTCGGGGTACTTTTTGGAGTCGGTTGCCCTCCAGGTTGAGACTCTCCAGGTGGGACGCTTGGATGAGAGCGTCTTTGGGCAGGCCCTTGTTGCTCAGTCTATTGGCACTCAGGTCCAAAATCGCCAGCCGGGATTGCCCATTGAATGCTTTGCCGCCGAAGTGCTCGATGAGGTTGCCTCTGAGGTACAGCTCCTTGACGGACAGAGGCAACCCAAGGGGGACGCTCGTCAGTTGGTTGTGATCCAGGTTCAAAGTCCTCAAGTGTTGCAGGGGGGACAGCACGGCATCCGGAAGTGATCCCGATCCTTCACCCAAACTGTTGTTGCTGAGGCTTAACACCAAAAGGCCACGACAGCGAGCCCAATATGACTCGGACATCACCCTCACGCGGTTGTTATCCAGGCGAAGCTCCTCGAGGGAAGCCGGAAGGTCCGTCGGTACACTCGCTAGCAGGTTCCCATCCAGGTAGAGACGTTTCAGGGCTGGGACGCCCTCGAACGCCCCCTCCACCGAGTCGTCTGTCAGGCGATTTTTGCTCAGGACCAGGAACTCCAAAGAGGCGTATCCCCGGAGGAGGTCCAGCTGGATGCTGTTGATGTGGTTGTTCATCAGCAGGATGTAACGTGAGCTGTAGGGGATGCCGTACGGGATCTTGTCCGCCGATTTGTCTGAGCACTGGACCACCCTGGAAAACAGGCAGATGGAGGACATGAACCACTTCTGTTTATGGGACACTTTTTTTTTTCAGTGGGTTGACACGATTTTCATTGGGCATCTCCCAGTTCAGTTTTTTTTTTTCCTCTGTGCAAACCACCCAGAAAATTCCATTTGCGATCGATTCAATGCCATGAGAATTAAATGGCCTGGATGAATGAGAATATAATGACAGGCATCATGTCTTACCCTCCATAGCAAGCGCAATCCGGAGGACAGTAGTTGTCCTTGAAGTAAGGAAAATGCTCCGTCTTTTTGGTCTTCATTTCTTTCACATTTTTTCCCCTTCCATTTCGCTTGCGATTTCCAATACGTGCATTTTTCTCGCTTTTGACTGAAGGCTCGGTCACTGTTTGGTCATACTCTCGTCTTTCAATGATGGCGCTTGTCGTTCTTGTGCCTGCGGCGTTCCTCACAGGTTGGGCTTCCGCATCTGGGTTAGAATAATGTCTCGGAAGCACCTTGGTGAGGACGTCTTCCATTGGTGTGATGGACTTGGGGTCCTCGGGAGTCACATTTGAGAAGATGCTGGGAGCTTCTGGATTGGAAAAAGATTGAGGAGTCGGAGTACCACGAGGCACACTATTTGATTTGTTTTGGATGATCCCTGCCACCAGCATGCTCTCCCGCTCTTCTTGCAGTGCGTCTCTGTTGGCATCTTTACTCTCCTCTTTTCTATTTGTTAACCATTCATGCATGTCCAAAACTTCTAGTCCTAAAATCACAAGGTCAAAACATTTACCAAGTTTTCTATAAGCCAGCGTGGGATTTTTATACATTTTTTTCCCGGTACTTACCGGCACTTGGTTGTCGGATGGACAAATGTAAAGGCGCAATGATGAATAAGAGCAGGAGTGTGAGAACTTCCATCTCATCTGTTGACCTCAGAATCGTGTGTGAGGGTTATTAAATGGGAAAGTTAATATAATGAGCCTAAATAACGGGTCATTGTATCAGAAGGACTTCAAGTACATACCGGTGAGGACGTCTTCCATCGGTGTGATGGACTTGTGGTCCTCGGGAGTCACAGTTGAGCAGATGCTGGGAGCTTCTGAATTGGAAAAAGATTGAGGAGTCGGAGTACCACGAGGCACACTAATTGATTTGTTTTGGATGATCCCTGCCACCAGCATGCTCTCCCGCTCTTCTTGCAGTGCATCTCCTTTGGCATCTTTACTCTCCTCTTTTGTATTTGTTAACCATTCACGCACGTCCAAAACTTCTCGTCCTAAAATCACAAGATCAAAACATTTACCAAGATTTCTATAAACCAGCGTGGGGTTTTTATACATTTTTTCCCGGTACTTACCGGCACTTGGTTGTTGGATGGACAAATGTAAAGGCGCAATGATGAATAAGAGCAGGAGTGTGAGAACTTCCATCTCATCTGTTGACCTCAGAATCGTGTGTGAGGGTTATTAAATGGGAAAGTTAATATAATGAGCCTAAATAACGGGTCATTGTATCAGAAGGACTTCAAGTACATACAATTATAGAAGACAGTTGCGATGAAAAGATGACAAGCAAAAAAAAAAAAATCAAAATACCTGATGCTGAACTCCTTGTGTGTCCAAGCCCAGCTCCCGTTTGAGGCTTATCCCCGATGTTTTTTGTGTGTGTGTGCCGTACAGAATCCCCCCCAGACGCAACGAGTCAACCTTTGAACCGCAGGCCACCGCCATCAGCCCCCCTACCCCCCTCCGAGCCTGCAGATGACTTAAATGATCCATGTTCACACTCAAAATGCCTTTTTGGGGAAGAGGATTGTCACACGTACCCTCAATCTGAGATCAATGGCGGGAAATGAGGACAGGCCCAGCTGGGAGGTCAGAGGTGACTATTGTTTTTTTGTTTTTTGTTTTTTTTAAACGGCAACTGCTGCTTGGAAGTTAGCATCCTGGTGTGTAGATGGGCCTGACTACAATCTTTGACCTCTGTGCTCCTTCAGGAAGTCTGGACCAATGATAAGTTAAATCTAACTTGTGTTTGACTTGAATGGCTGAAATTATGTGTAAAATATATATAATTTATACTTGAAAAATTATTGTACTCGTTTGACATATAAAACCCCAAAGCACCGAAACCAAATGCAGGGTCAAAATTTGAGAAAGAGAGAATATTTACATCCTTTTTGGACAAGCAAAAGTCGCAATAAAAATAGATTTTAAAAAGTGTCTGTTGCTGTGATAAACCGGAAATTACAAAATATAGAAATAAAATGTGATGGCGTTTTCAACTAATTTGCTGTAATAAGTTAATTGAATTTGGAGGGGACAAAACGAAATCCCAATAAAGAATATTAATTTAATGAAATAAAATCCTTTGAAGAACTGTCCAAAAATACGAAGTCACACAAACATACTCAATGTTGCCAACTAGAGTGAGAAAACACCAAATGCAAGACGACAAAAAAACAAAACAAAACAGAACATGCAGTTCCATCAATGTCCACCAGAGAGCAGCCGACCCCTACGGAGGAGACGTACATGAGTGGCTTTTGCATTGCATAACACGTCAGAACATCATACATTAAATAGCTTTTGAAATGATCCATGTTACATAACCACACACATACATCCAAATTTGTCCTCATTTGAAAATTCCCAAATCTCAAACAGGCAGCTTTCAACTTCTGTATGTGAGCTCGAATGTTGAAATCTGTCCGAATGATTAGCAGTTGATTATTCATTTCCAGTGAACTGATATCTTCATTGGAATGAGGTCATCGCCTGAGAAGTGGTTCGTACGTTTGTTGCAGCACACACAAAACACAAGGTCAGGGCAAGGCGGCAGTAAAAGGTGGAAAATGGGATCAAGAAGCCTTGTTGCGCTTCAGTAATATTTGTAGTATTAGTGCAAAGTGGGAAGTAAGATAAGATAAGCCTTTATTTGTCCCGCAATGCTATTAGTGCAAAGTGGGAAGTACTGTATATTATTACACTGGTCAACAGCCAATTTTAATCAGGGATGGCTTTATGTGTCCCCAATATTTCTATGCTGATTTCAAACATGGCTTTACTATTTTTTTGGGCGAGCACATGAGGGTAAAAAGCTTGCGCAATACGGATGTTACGCGTTGTAATTTATAGCTTTGACCTTTGAGAAAAAAAAAATTCCACCTGTTGTGGAACCTCACCCGCTTAATTCGTAAATGTTTACTAAATATATTACTATATTACATATGCTAGAGAAAAACAAGGGCAACGGGGAAAAAAAATCTAGAAAAATGCACTTGCCTTACTGATTTCAAAACATTTGGACAAATTTGTTGACCAGTGTTAGCGACAACTCCTAGCATGGCCTAGCCGAGCCTAGTGTAGCCCCTCCTTCCTCCCCATCTGCTTGTCTGCTGACTGAAGCGTCACCGGCGAGGAGAACAAGGCCGAAGGCCAAAGGTCGCAGACTGTGATTGATTTTGTTGTTGCCTCCTCATGGGCGTGAGTGCACACAATCTTTTTTTTTTTTTTACTTTCCTGCTACTCCACATCCCGAATGAACAAAAGATCATTTTTCAGTTTTCAGCATGTTATGACATGCCATCTCGATTTCAGGAACACTTAGTTGTAGTGACCTAAATGCAGCACCAGAACTTTAAACAAATAAAAAATAAAAAAAATTGGAAGGGTGCCCACTGGGATGTGTGTTCCAGTTTTTGAATTTATTTTGAAATCTCCCATAGACAATTCCATGAATGCAAAGTAAAATTAAATATTCTCAAAGACTAACATACAGACTAGCACATACAAGGTGTTTGAGTCAATCACAGTTTTATTTTGGGTGTATCCTTTTCCTTGCTAGAGAAGAAAATTCTGTTTTTGTCCAAGGAACCAGCGGATGCCGCCTTTACCGTGCCTGCAAATCCAAATATTATTCCGCTCGTAGTCCCGTTGAGGCGGCGGCGGCTCACCGTGTTGTCTTAACCCTACCCAGAATACCTTCCAACCAAATTAAACTCGTGTTTTCGTGTACGATAGGCATGTGGGAATACAGGGACGGCAAGAGAGCTGAAAGGATTAATTTTTGCGGTGGGGATGGGGGGGGCTGAAAAATGAGAAAAGCTTTTCTAGGCCGTTTGTTTCCAGTTCTTTCTCTGGATCACATCACGGCCTTGCAACGTGGTGGGTCATTGTGCCCCGATTGCATGACATCCGGCCGTGGAACAGGCTGATCCAAACAACAGAAATTGGCCAAACAGGCACAATTTGTGGAAATGGCACATCGGCTCCAGGCCAGAATATGAAGGATGTTGAAGTTGTGGAGCTGCGAGTAGTTTACATATTCTTTTTAAGGCTAGACAGCCATACTCTGCATTTATCGAGACATTTGCAGTCTGCAGACATGCAACAAGTGTGACAGGATTGTGCAGAAATGCATAATATACTCATAAGACTTGAATTGTCGCAGGAGCAGATGGGCAAACAAAGCTGGACCTGCTGATTTAGGTCATTGAATTTGTCATATGCACTAGTTAACATTAAGGCAAATCCCCACAAAATATGCAAGACTGTATTCCTTCTCAAAAACAATCACAACAGAACATACAACGAAGGGCTGTTGTGCAATTAATGCACGGTGATAATCCTTCTCCCCCACCCCTTGATATCGTTCACTTTTAAACCCGGAAATGAGCGCTGTAAACAATTAAAAACATGCCAGTTGGAGGAAAAAAACGTAGTTTGGTTGAAAAAGCAGCGAAAGTACAGAACCGACATGACTTTTTCAAAAACAAAATGCATGCGTGCGTGTGCTTGTCTTCGACGCGACAAGGCTTTGCGGTGACATCCCGCTGCTTTTCAATGGGACAGCTGTGCGTGTGTGTTTGTGTGCGTGAGTGTGAGGGCGTCCCTACGTGGCGCAGGCTGCCTGGCAACTGTCCTCTCATTGGTCCGCTGTCCGACCGCCTCCGACCAATAGTGTGAGAGCCGTGATGCGGAAGTCAACGGCTGACAAAAACCACAATGGGTGAAGACGAGGAGGGGGGCAAAAAACAACCTCGACACTGTGGGAAAGTTTTGGCAAGACTAGGTTTAAAGTGTTAGAAGTGGTAAGTTTTTTTTTTTTTTGTAGTTTGAACAGTGAATGTAAGCATTCCAAACAACTTTACTGAGCACATATGAAATTATCTGTCTATATAGTCAGACCATGTTCACAAACAATTGCCCTTCTTAGGTGAGAGAATTCACTTTTCACCAAATAGTTCCCCCCTCGTTTTCCTTAAAATTGATAAGCATGGCTGTAATCTGTGACATTTTCAAAAGTCAAATACAAAAATCCCCCCCCCCCCCAAAAATCTTATTCGACCTGTGGATGGTCAAATGAAATAAAAGCCTTATGAACACATTTCTTTGGGCCATTTGGAGTGACTAACCAAGGGGATGGCTTTATTTGTCACAGGCTTTTCGGTTTGGCAAGCCGGGACTTGCCGCAGCCGAACCTGCGTTTGCAACAGCTTGGAGTGGGCTTTTGTGGGATTTGAGTCTCATCTCAGGGGGATAATGGATGTTTGTTTTCACTGCGGGCCGTGACGCACGTGCTAGCTCGCCTGGGAGGCAGGGACAAGAAAGGTTGCAGAAAATCTACCCTATTCGGCAAAATTTTGTGGATTGTGTACATGACCAGTGTTGATTGACTAACTAATTTATCCTGTAATTTCCCCACAGTATCGCTTGGTGCTGCAGTTACAGCTTCTTATGAAACCGACATGACCGACCTGAATCGAGAGAAGGTGAATTTTTCATAATAATAATACATCCATCCATTATACTGTGCACCTAATATAAGTGTAAACGTAAAAAATAATACTCTTAGCTGTGATATCGCAGTGTTCTTTGTTTGCTCAATTCTTTTGCTGTATAAGAGAAAAAAAAACATGTTAAGGCGGTGGCAGGAACTGAGTCAGTGGGAAGGAAAATAAGCAATAATCATGATAATGGTGATGATGACGATAATGATGACACAGCTTCCTCGCACATTAGGTACATGGCAACCTGGCACCAATGCAGGTTTCATAAACCAAATGAGTCTAAGTTTAAGTCTACAAAAACTAATTGCATGCTCAATATTGACACTTCCCACTGCAGTAAATATTAAAACCATTAAAATGTTCCTTCTTGCAATAACAACATTTGCATGTAGGTCATCCGACATGCTGACTTCTCATCGTCATGAAGGGGCGTTGGTAAGCTATGACTTGGCTTCACATGTTGCTGGCATTGGCAGTTCATTGGCTAATACCTCCTATAAAACGCATCCAGACCCCCCCCCCCAAAAAAAAAAACAAACAAACAAACAAAAACATCAAAACACGTCCAGGACCACATGGCCACATGTGAGAAATCAGTTTCATCGTACTCTCACTGCATTGCCCAGACAATCTGAGTTTAATCCAGAGTCCAGTCCTGGATTATGATGTCTGCTCCACCCCCCCTTTTTTTTTGCATTATGGAAATCAGACCGGATTAAACAGATTTTGAGGGGTGGGGGCTACAATATGAGTCCCAATTTCTGTTTCCCTGACAACGATGATTACAGATGTCATTCCCGGATTATTCTGCCTCGAATCAAAACAGAACGTTTAGCCTGGACGACGTTGCTATGGCAGCTGTGTTTTGCTCTGACCTTTTTGTCGCTTATAATTTCGCAAATGTGGTTTCGGATGAAGGCGATCCGAGCAGATGGTTTACTGACTCTTTTGTGAAGCACCCCATCAGAACTCCCTTTAGCCTCGCGATTTCCTTTTTCTTTCGTCCAGTGCTCTGCTAAAAATGTGCTGAAATGCCAAAAAAATGTGCTGTTCTTTTTTTCCAGTGGCAGCGGTCCTCAAGGACTTTCCCCGACGGTCATCTGACTCATGGAGGTCAATCAGCATGGCTCTGAGAAGAACAACTACAGCAGGTAAGTCAGTCAAGCATACATCAACAAAAAAAAGTCCTTTCACACTCGCCACCCGAGCCGTGTTTTGCCCGGGTCAGTGTACGATGTAAAAAAAAATCTTTATTTTGACTGATATAATCCATCCCAGTTGGACAGTGTCGTGTCTTTACACAGCAGATTCAATTTCTCACCTTTATATAAATATATCAGATGGAATGGTGATGTCATCATTTTCCATCCAAAATATGCAAGATGAACACAGTGATATAAAATGTGAACATCACCTTGAAAGTCAACCCTCGTCATGTCATCGCTTAGATTTTTATCAGGCTAAACTGTTATCTCTGGTTGCTTAGTGACTAATTCACCATTTAAAAAAAAAAAAAAAACGTCGGGGGGAGAGTCATTTGCATATAGCAAAATAAAAAGCCAGGGCAAGTAAACAGTCGGAGGGCCGATTCTAATAGCAGTTTTGAAAGAATGAAAGCGATTAAAAAATATTTGACGTGTGTGTCTTGGGTGTGTTTTTCCACAATGCCTCATTATGACATTCATCAAATGCAGGCGTCACGTTTCATAACTCACTCCAATCAGGTAACAAAGCGCACAAAGACTCAATGGTGGAGAAAATAAGGAGGCTCGTTGGTTTTATGTTACGCTAGCCCTGTGCTAACGAAGTGCAAATATGAGAGGTACTCCGGTGAATAGATAATATTGCTGAGCAGAGGAGCCAATGCCCCCCCTTTCTTTTTTTTTTTGCCCTCCATTATCTGAAGGTTTCTTTAATCACACACAGGGCTCACTCAGCCCCAGAAGGGACTGAAGCATTATTATCTTTTACGGGAATAACACGGCATGTAAGCAGAGAATAATGTTCCTAAGCAACTGCTGACAGTGTATCGCGCCCATACATATGCATGTACTTTTTTTTTTTTTTTTAATTAACCGCATGCAAGCATGCATGCAAGCTGTCAAATACATGCCAAGGTAACAGGTGGCGCTTTGACCCTATCTTTAAGGCGAAGAAAGTCATACGTGGGAAAGACACAACAAAATTGTCCTGAGCGATTTGATTCTCCTACCAAGCTGTTTAAATTGAATTTCACTGAAGTTCCTAAAATGGATTTCTTAAACGCTCAAACTGAATGTCAGTTTTCATAGCAACAGAGTACATCACAAAATGTGCTTTTTATTTGTTGTTGTTGCGGTCAGGTAGCAATGGTCCTTTGTATGGAAAGCATATGATTCATTTTTGACATCCTCGATTGCCAATAGGCATCATGTGCAGTGAGGCCATCTGCCCCTCTGAGGGTGGGCAAACTTTGAAAAACTCCCAAACGAAAAATAAAAGAACATGAATAATGGCTCTCCTATCTGTGGTTATTTATGTATTCATTCATTCATTCATTCATTCGGGGAATAATTGTGCCCGCGGTGCATTCTTTGACAAATACGAGCGCCTCGTATTTGCGTAACCCTCCGTTGCCGTGCCGCCATTTCATAACCGCCTTTTTTTTTCGACAACGTTTGTTTATTGGCTTCCCACTCAACTGCCGGGGCTCAGTAACATGATCAGAATTTTGTCAAAGTGGCTCTTGTACTTCAAAAGTACATTCTTGGATCTTAAGGGCTTGTAAATAATCGGCCTTTTGGGATAAATTTACATAGATTGAACCTCGAGGGTTACGGGAATGTACTGTACTGTTTGACTGCATCTAAAAAGTATCATACTGTATCTTCTGGCCTTGTTATTTAAAAAAAACACACAATAGACAGAACACTATCCAGGGGCTTGTTTTCCCTCAACATTTGAATAACATCTTGTTAAGTGACCCGATGACCTTTATTACATTTGCTATGCAATATGCCCAAAGGCACAAACATACTCACCGCCTCGCTGTTGGTCCGTAGCCAGATTCTCATGATGTTCATCACCATCTGCTTAAAAGATGGATTACAAGCCGCGCAAACGTTTTGCACCAGACATTTGGGTTTCAACCTTGTGACTTTTAAAAATCGAACGTCCCGCAATGTGCAGAATGTACCCCGTAAATGCAAATGTAACTGTGCGCAGAATTTATTGACTTATTATTATTTGGCTTTTTTAACCGCAATTCATGCCGAGACGTGACTATTGTGTTGCGCAAGCCTCACGAATCACACCGGCTGCCGGCTCTGATCGGTCTGCTCCGAGTTCCTCGGGCTTTGCTGCCTAATGTCGGCATCGTGCTCCCGCAAAAATTAAGTTGGCAGTTGTGCCGAGAGCACACATGGCATTGTGTCAACAAGGTGTCGTTGATGGTTGTACTGCGGAAAAATACAAAAAAAACCCGTCACTGGTATTTAATGATTAACCGATTCATTATAATGCAGTCAGGCTTGGCGGTTTAGTCTAACAGCATATTTTAATAGTTGCTTCTCAGACCACAAATGACGAGCGATGGACCTACCTTGCTAATAACAACCACAAGCAAGATGCTAATCAGCTGCGAATGAGCGACGGTACTTTTTGAATCCAATCCATAAAGACTGGGCACATAATCCATTACAGCATTTGAATTTGAATGGACGAAAAACGTATACAATTTCCAGGTGGAGCCATTTTGCTTTCATTATGCCTCTCCTGTGAATCACTCTTACCAATGAGGCACTTTTATCCACGCACACGGAACTTGGAAGACTCGCTCGCTGCCTCCTGCTCATCAATATGTCATTCAAAACAACACGACAGCAGTGACAGCAAGTGGAGCAAAAGCTGCTTCGAGCGAATGTCAGCGACGCGACCGGGCGGTGACGACGACGGGTTGATGCGCGCTGAAAAAAACCCTCAGCAATGACTTGAGTGGGCTTGCGGGTTTACTGTCGCCATGACATCTGGATCCCGCCGACTGGCTTTTTTTGGCGCACGGGACGCCTGTTGACAGTACCGATGCGTCATCGGGCGGCAGTCATTGCGTAGCGCAGCACTCGGAGGATTATCTGTTGTCGTTAGTATCGGGGTAATGGATAACTTGACTAATTGACCCTCCTGTATTTTTCATAACAAACCTTTCTGTCGGGCCATGAGTCAACAGCGAATGTTTCGTGAAGTCATTTGTAATTTGAAGTGCAACTTGTCCCCCGATGCCCCTCCGAGCCAAACATTGTGTGCGCGCTTGCCGCGGGGATTGAAATTTGCCCGGCGTGGTGCTTTGTCCATTGTTTGACGCGATAAATACCGCCTGCTGCCGCCGTAATCGGCTTCTGGGGTTGCTCAAGCAGTTGGGATTGCGTTATCGTTTGTCAGCGTGTGAAAATGTGATGCAAAAGTTAAAGCTCTTGCAGCCGCTACAAGTGATGGCTTGATGGTTGTATTTTGCCAAACAACAAAATGTAGTCACACATTTCGGAAGTGTGTAAAAATAGGTCATTTTGGTGGGTCTGTTAGAATTCTCGCCGCCGCCGACGCTTTTGAGTTGTTTATCTCGCAGCGGTGTATGTCGGCGGGATTAGTGGCAAAGCGGTACAAACAAATGGAGCTAAGTAGGTACAAATTCCCTAAATTCGTTATGTCAGGCATCAAACACCTTGGGATTTAAAAAAGACAAGTTGGATTTCACGTTTGTCTTTTTGCTCTACTGTCCCAAACACTCTCAGAGGCTCATTTGCACCTCTGTAGCAGCCTCCACTGAACCGTTGCCCGGGTCATAGCTTTGACCTTCAGCCAACCGAGCTACTATGGCAACGGAGCCTTTCCAGGTTCACATTTACGGAACGTGCCGCAAACGGCGTGGCGGATTTTGTGGCATTTTAATTCGAAAGGCCATTTACTCAAATTGCCTGTCGGAGCTTCGAATCTATTAATCACTGCTGCTCTCGTCCGAACTTTCGTATGTGACATCACAGACTGCTGTTTGTTCTTGTGCAGCTGTGAAGTCTGCCCGGCAGTAAAAACCGTCCCTTTGTCTGCCCTTCCTGGAAAATTGCTTCATAAATGTGACAATAATGGTGCGCTGCATCAACAGTACGTCACGTCGCAGAACAATTGAAGCAGTTGGAGGTCGGTGGAACATTGCCTCAAGGTAAGGGTCACCATAGAAACACTGGGTGGCCCTTTTTATTTTTTATTTTTTTGCGTCAACCGGCCCCTGAATAAGGAAATCCTGTTTGAACAAGACAAAACTCTCTTTCTTTCTGACCTGTCCCTGAAATACGTGATCGCGCACATGCTGGTCTTGCCATAAAATTCTGGACCAGACCCTAAGAAGAAAAAGGGATGTTTAAAAATACACTTTCAGGTTTCGCAATTGACTCTTGCTTGCCCTGTACCATAATTAGGAAGGGCCAATCCAAAGTGACAAGCATATACTTGGGCTCGCGTCAACCATTAGCACCAAACAGGAGAAAATATGATGCCGTCCTCATGCCGAATCCAGAAATATACTCATGCGTGACAATACCATTAGCGTAAACACGCAGCGCCGCCTCACTCTTAATGCATGTGTGGCTACAACTACACGCATACTTTGCCCTATTTTTCCGCATAATGATGCTCCTCGGGTCCCCAAATAGAATTTTTTCCCTCCCCATTATTTCTAGAATCTATCACACATGCAAATAATTGGTGCTATGAAAACATGTTTGTTCTGCGAATTATCACACTTCACCAGAGATGAGCTGTTAAGTGACAGGAAAAAAAAACAAAGAATGTGAATCTTAAGTTTGTTTCGTAGTTGCACTGCCCCCGTGGTGCCCTACATCAGTCAGCTTGTTCGCAACACCAAAAGTGAATTCGCTATGCAGACCAGGCGTGTGTCTGCATAGTAACGCATCTCGCCAAGGCACGAGGTGGGGGGGCAAAACTCGGAGACTAACGTGTGTGTGCGTCTGTCCGTGTGATTGTCTGGTGCAGTGGATGCAGTCTGCAGGGGGTCTGTTCCTTTTTGTCAACCACTCGCCTTCAACAGCCAATCAGATCATGCGCTAAAATGGCTACCCATGCCCTGACAGTAACCTCACGCGCGCACACGCACGCAGATGTT